ATGGAAACCCTAGTGGTACTGAGGGAAACAGTAACATGGAAACCCTAGTGGTACGGAGGGGGACAGTAACATGGAAACCCTAGTGGTACGGACGGGGAAAGTAACATGGAAATCCTGGTGGTACTGAGGGAGACAGTATTATGGAAACCCTAGTGGTACGGCGGGAGACAGTAACATGGAAACCCTAGTGGTACGGAGGGAAACAGTAACATTCAAACCCTAGTTGTACTGAGGGAGACAGTATTATGGAAACCCTAATTGTACGAAGGGAGACAGTATTATGGAAACCCTAGTGGTACGGAGGGAGACAGTAACATGGAAACCCTAGTGGTACGGAGGGAGACAGTATTATGGAAACCCTAGTGGTACGGAGGGAGACAGTATTATGGAAACCCTAGTGGTACGGAGGGAGACAGTATTATGGAAACCCTAGTGGTACGGAGGGAGACAGTATTTTGGAAACCCTAGTGGTACGGAGGGAGACAGTAGTATGGAAACCCTAGTGGTTTGGAGGGAGACAGTAGTATGGAAACCCTAGTGGTACGGAGGGAGACAGTAACATGGAAACCCTGGTGGTACGGAGGGAGACAGTATTATGGAAACCCTAGTGGTACGGAGGGAGACAGTATTATGGAAACCATAGTGGTACGGAGGGAGACAGTATTATGGAAACCCTGGTGGTACTGAGGGAGACAGTAACATGGAAACCCTAGTGGTACGGAGGGATACAGTATTATGGAAACCCTAGTGGTACGGATGGAGACAGTAACATGGAAACCCTGGTGGTACGGAGGGAGACAGTATTATGGAAACCCTAGTGGTACAGAGGGGGACAGTATTATGGAAACCCTAGTGGTACGGAGGGATACAGTTTTATGGAAACCCTAGTGGTACAGAGGGATACAGTATTATGGAAACCCTAGTGGTACGGAGGGAGACAGTAACATGGAAACCCAAGTGGTACTGAGGGAAACAGTAACATGGAAACCCTAGTGGTACTGAGGGAAACAGTAACATGGAAACCCTAGTGGTACTGAGGGAAACAGTAACATGGAAACCCTAGTGGTACGGAGGGGGACAATAACATGGAAACCCTAGTGGTACGGACGGGGAAAGTAACATGGAAATCCTGGTGGTACTGAGGGAGACAGTATTATGGAAACCCTAGTGGTACGGCGGGAGACAGTAACATGGAAACCCTAGTGGTACGGAGGGAAACAGTAACATTCAAACTCTAGTTGTACTGAGGGAGACAGTATTATGGAAACCCTAATTGTACGAAGGGAGACAGTATTATGGAAACCCTAGTGGTACGGCGGGAGACAGTATTATGGAAACCCTAGTGGTACGGAGGGAGATAGTATTATGGAAACCCTAGTGGTACGGAGGGGGACAGTAACATGGAAACCCTAGTGGTACGGGGGAGACAGTAACATGGAAACCCTAGTGGTACGGATGGAGACAGTATTATGGAAACCCTGGTGGTACGGAGGGAGACAGTATTATGGAAACCCTAGTGGTACGGAGGGAGACAGTATTATGGAAACCCTAGTGGTACTGAGGGAGACAGTAACATGGAAACCCTAGTGGTACGGAGGGATACAGTTTTATGGAAACCCTAGTGGTACGGAGGGATACAGTATTATGGAAACCCTAGTGGTACGGAGGGAGACAGTAACATGGAAACCCTAGTGGTACTGAGGGAGACAGTATTATGAAAACCCTAGTGGTACAGATGGAGACAGTATTATGGAAGCCCTAGTGGTACGGAGGGAAACAGAAACATGGAAACACTAGTGGTATGGAGGGAGACAGTAACATGGAAACCCTAGTGTTACGGAGGGAGACAGTATTATGGAAACCCTAGTGGTACGGAGCGAGACAGTAACATGGAAACCCTAGTGGTACGGAGGGAGACAGTATTAAGGAAACCCTTGTGGTTCGGAGGGAGACAGTATTATGGAAACCCTAGTGGTTCGGAGGGAGACAGTAACATGGAAACCCTAGTGGTACGGAGGGAGACAGTAACATGGAAACCCTAGTGGTACGGAGGGAGACAGTAACATGGAAACCCTAGTGGTACTGAGGGAGACAGTAACATGGAAACCCTAGTGGTACAGAGGGAGACAGTAACATGGAAACCCTAGTGGTACGGAGGGAGACAGTATTATGGAAACCCTAGTGGTACAGAGGGAGACAGTATTATGGAAACCCTTGTGGTACGGAGGGAGACAGTATTATGGAAACCCTAGTGGTTCGGAGGGAGACAGTAACATGGAAACCCTAGTGGTACTGAGGGAGACAGTATTATGGAAACCCTAGTGGTTCGGAGGGAGACAGTAACATGGAAACCCTAGTGGTACGGAGGGAGACAGTAACATGGAAACCCTAGTGGTTCGGAGGGAGACAGTAACATGGAAATATAATTATAGGCAGGAGTGTATTACCTGTACACCCCTTATACAATGCAAAGTAATGGAAATGAATGAGAGTTGATGCAGGTCAATAATATTAGCTGTTATTGTTCATTTTAATCAATTTTATGTAATAATAACTATTGTGATGGTGACTTAAAAACCTTTCCATTCCCACATATCAAAATTAGCATATTTGAAGAGGGTTGAACATGGAATCGATTAACAGAAGGAACCTGTCCATTAAGTGGTTCAAAGGTTACAATGATGTCACAGTACTGAGCCCAACCTAGCCGATCTGTACTGGGCTGGCCTGCTTACCCATCCACCATAGTTGCTTCCATGCTGAAAAGGACCTATCGGAGCAGCGCGGCTTGGGTTGTCCTTATTGTGTGTGCGTGTGTCCATGGTTCAGAGGTATTCCCCCTCTGGAATGAGCATGTTACTGGGTTACAGCCAGGTTACAGAATAGCAACCTGTAACCCAGTACCGTGCTCATTTCAGAAGGGGGAATACATCTGAACCATGGGTACACACAGGGATCCTGGCCTGCTGGATGTTTCTCAACTTCCTGTCATCTTTCTGAGGTATGCACCGTATTCCATGTTCCCCTAGGACAGTGGTATTCAAAGTCCGGGGTCGCGACCAGGGGAACTGCAGTGGGGTCGGCCAAATATACAGTATGTATACTTGGGGTGGTAGGTAGCCGATCAGTTAAAGAGTTGGATCTGTAGCCGAAAGGTGTCCGGTTCGATTCCTGAGCCGGGTGCTGGAAAAGGGGCTCGCAACTGGAGGGCTGCTGGGTTCACATCCTCAAGACATTCCCCTACCGTTGGCCCTTGAGCAAGGCCCTTAACCCCACAGCATGCTCACTGTTCAGGGGTGCTGCACTGCAGCTTCAACCAGTGCTTGTCTCAACTCTATGTGTGCTGTGTAGGGGTTTGAGAGTTTCTGTTGTGTGCTGTAACATATGGACAATAAAGTTGTATTGTTTGTGATATGCTGTTTAAGTAATCAGAGGTGGTCCGTTGGTGTTCGTTTAGTGGCAGTCGTTTAACACGCCCTCGTGTACAATTGTTTTATCAGAGGAGATGTTCAATAGAAGTAATATCCAAAGGGGAGGGGCCAGGGGTGGGCTGTTTCTTTCCTGTTGAGTAGGGTGATAGATAAGTATAAGACCCCCTTGGAAGAAGAATGCGATCACATTGAAAAAATTACTTATTGTGTTGCCCTGCGCCGCTCGAGCCTGGCAGAGACGCTCTCCAAAATGCAGCAGCATCTTATCCTATCCATTTTTCTGGCATCCTTTTTGAAAATCTGCACCGGTGCAGGTGAGTCGATTTTAATTAACTGTAGTCTGAACTTGGAAGGAAAGGTGTAATCTCTGTATAAACTATAAATTCGTTCAATAAATCAGATTTGTGCATCTATTTTTCATTAATTGGGGGAAACTAAAATAGCTTGATAAGTAGGAATCTACGTATTGTATAGTTAAAAAAAAACTAGGTATATATATATATATATAGCCTAACTGATCAAATGTAAGTAAACAGGCGACAACGTACTAATTTCCTACCATTCAAAGCTTTGAGGTAAAACTAATAGTGTCCTGGGTGCATATTAAAGATATCAGCTTAGTGAGATCACATTACATCCTCTGATCAGCCGACGAGTAGCCTATTTAGTCACGATGTACCTGATCATTGTTCCCCTCTGAAAGACAGACTACTGTTTTCCATTTACATTCTTGATGTTGTATTGAGGGTTTAGATTTTTTTATTTTTTATTAAACGGCAACAAATATATTTCATATTTGATAAGCTTTCAAGCATAGGTTTATTATGATATTACAAGTAGACCAATAACACATTAAAAACAACTGCTTGAAGTCAGTTTTAGCTGTTAAATTTTTGTTATAGGTTCTTTGAAGTCGAAATTACCTTTCATTTGGAAAGGTCCTGTTTGGCTTTTAAAAATCCAGTGTCATCGAGCCGCCTCTCAGATATCATCCAATGTTATAATAGAGCATCTATGAAATTGAAAACACTGCGCAGGCTAACTTGATATATATATATATATATATATATATATATATATATATATATAACGTATGTAGGATTTAGGGTACTACCCTATGATCACAACTAGCCTCCAACATTAAAGAGATGCTTCCGTCCCGCGCACCGCATATCATCACCCCAAACGCACGCATAAATGCTCTCCAACACCTGCCATATCCATCATAGAGATTTCCCACGCATTCCTTACGAGCGTCACGGCATTGCTGGCAGGCAGATCCACAACTCTCCTTCCCCCTCACCAGGAAAGCACACTGGCACAGTAAGTTCAAGGACATACAGTGAAACTAAAGTGTCTCTGTCTGTCAACAAATCAATGTGCCAAAGATGTCGGTCTTTTAGGTGTCAACATGGTGACCGGTAGATTATGCTGGGCAACTATTAAAAGAAAACGAACAGAGAAGCCCATCAAATCGTTTTCAGAAAAAAAACAGCTCCGTTATATCAAGCAATTCCCGTTCATTCTTCCACGTGCACCTGCACCCGATACGGAATTCAGCACGAGCCAATGAGAGAGACTTGCGTGCTTGCCGCAGCGCTCGAGAACGAGAAGCAGCATGAGCTCCAACAACAAGCGCTGCGTAAAAAACACGGCAAATCTCTACACAAGCACGTGAGAACTCAGATCTCCTACAGGTAGGTCTAACGGTTTAATTTACAAAATTACAAAAATACATTATCTGTTGGTTTTCCCCAGTGTTGAAATGGGTTACGCGCTCACAAACTACAGGCTGCAATAGACTGCCTGCTCTGCGGATGTCGAGAACACAGTGCTGTCCCCACTGAGAACGAAATTGGATACCATATTATTTGGATGAAGATTGCAGTCACAGAAGTAACTGATAACATCATGCTACATTGCTTTTGCATCTGATAAGAAGATGCCTTAACCTTTCTCCATTTGAATCCACACAAAAATCCCCATATACCAATTAACCAATTGCTCCCCGAGTGATAGCCTATCAAATTGCTACATCACATTATATCCTAAATATTTTCTCAAATGTGCAAATGCAGATGGTTGAACTGGTTGGTTTAAACACTTGTGCACTGTCTGAAGTCACCCCTGCTCTTCCGGGGGGGTTGTCCCCTTTGCATTCCAAAAGACACACTTATGACCTCATGCCAACCACTTGGATATCACCATAGCCCCTTTTGCTGTCCCATTTGTAAATCTTTGATTATTAAGGTTCTTTCATACCCCCTTGGAATTCAGCCTGGTCTCATAGACTAGACGTAACATAGTAAACGGAAAAACCGAGATGCTCAAATTAGTTTGGTATGTAGGGTGGTTGGTCGGGGTGGGTGTATAACGCAAACGTCTAGCAACCCAAAGGTTGCGAGTTCGAATCTCATCACAGACAACTTTAGCATTTTAGATAGTTAGCAACTTTTCAACCACTTACTACTGTTTAGTTACTTTGCCACTACTTAGCATGTTAGCTAACCCTTCCCCTAACCTTAACCCTTTTGGCTAACTCTTCCCCTAACCCTAACCTTAACCCTTTTAGCTAACCCTTACCCTAACGTTAACCCTTTAACCTAACACATAAACTTAATCCTAACCTTAACCCTAACCCCTAACCCTAATCCCTAACCCTAACCCCTAGCCTAGCTAACTTACCCACCTAGCTAGAGTTCATAACATATCATCAATTTTGCAAATTCGTAACATATTGTACATTTTACAATTTCATAATATTTAATACGAATTGTAATTCGTAACATATCATACGAAATGGGTGATGAACAAATTAATACATACCCATGCAAAATGTAACATATCATACAAAATGGAGTGTAGGATATTTACGTACAGAATAATACGAAAGGCTCTGAGACCAGGTTGTGTAATTAGGTCTATGTCTCTAGGGCCTTCAAACTCAACTCTGGACCTCGAAGCCAGTTCCACTGCATTTCTTCATTGTTTCCTCAAATCAGGGACTGATTTAGACCTGGGACACCAGGTGGGTGCAATTAAGTATCAGGTAGAACAGAAAACCAGCAGGCTCCGGACCTCGTAGGGTAAGAGTTGAGTACCCCTGCTCTAGGGTAAGCGCCTTATACAACCTATAGGCCTACAGACCATGTTACACGTGGAGAGATGTTTACGGCATAGAGAACACCATGACATCTCAGATCTCTCTCGCGGTCTTCGTTTAAAATACCCTAATATCCTAATGATGTCTGCAAATGTGCAGACAGAATTATTTATTTATCTTTCATTGCCTTTTGTTTCTCTTTGACAGTTTACTATTTCTTGGCTGCTCAAAACCTCGCTCCCCCGGGAGTGCGCTCAGCTCAACACCATTGAGTACCCGTTGTTCGACGTTACTTTGCTCTGCATTGGTCTAAAGATCAATTCAGCGTCGAGGTCTGCCTATCAGTAGATCACCTATTGATTACACAGGAAATCTGATTCGATGCCAATTAACAGAAGCAGGCTCTGTTTGTAGGATAATTGATTGACAAACTTAATTGATTGACATTAAGGACTGTGTCAGTTTAAAACTTGTTCATAAAGACTTAATACACACCATACCTATTCCTCTGAGAAAATAAAAATTCAAATGCCATTTAAAATACACTATTCCACTCATGCATGGTTTACAAATGCCTTTAGAACATATTCGTCTTTTTTTTTTTTGTTGAACAATAGTGAAAAGATAACTGTTCTGATGGTGGTTCTAGTGCATTGGGTAATGGACATGACGTCATCTAGGAAGTTTAACTCCTAGAAGTAATTCTACAGGTGGAAGTTGGAGTAGGGGGTTATGTAGGCCAGGGTAGAAGGGCAGGCTACTTGGCCCAATGAAGGCATTAGCCGATAGGCGTTGGTGTATTTTAATTGTGACTTAGCCCACACGTTACACAACCACATTTTGTACAGGGCCCCCAAAAGGTGCAAACCCACTTTTTAATTTTTCTATGCCACTGAACTATTTGTGGTTATAATTTTACCTTTTGCTTTTCTTGTATTATTCCCATACCAGAGCACCTGTGGCTGTTTTGGTGCTGGCTCTTTTCTTTGATCAGCTTGAATGTTATTTATTTATTGAGAACAATATGTTAATAATGGCACCATATGGGTACACTCTGTGACCTTCCAAGTCTATACCCCCTGCAGAGTTTATTTGGGTTTATTTTATTTATAGCCGCGATCATGCCAGTACAGAAGGAAATGGGCTTACCAACCAACGGTGGCAAAGAAAAACACCAGGCATTTGTACCCAATTCACAGCACTTCCTTCAGCTCATGGAGGAGAAACCCTTCCAATCCAGTAATAATAACACAGTATATTCCGTTTTTGTATTTGCCATAAATATTCGATTTGCGAGATAGCAGTAGATAGTTGTCTCAGAGCGGGAGCTAGGTTGAAACATGACCAAGTCCATTGTGAAATATTAATACACTTTCAAAACAAACGTGAGGAAATGTGTCTTTTGATGTTACATTTTTTCTTTTCTTTTTTGTATATATTCTGATAGCGTGTAAACTTGTTAGTGTGCCTTTGTGTACTTTAACAATAGAAAATACAATTCCTGTGTATTAGGGGATTTGTATGACCGGCAATAACAGTTGACTTTAAGCAAAACTTGAACAATTCATTGTTTGCGGAAAGAGAAAATAAACGAACTATTGATAATCGGCAGATTTGATAAATATGATTGAAATCTTGCGGATGCGGTTTCTGGCCATTCTCCAGAATAACTGCTAACCACTGGTTGTAACAGCCACCTCCCTCTCTCTCCCCCTTAGTTTTCAAAATAGACTGCAGTGCGGAATGTTGTTAATTGTGAGGGTTAACAATATGACGAGTGTATAAACATTGTTTACTCAGATGATGTGATAACTGCCTCCGTCCAGAAAGAGATGTGTGAATGGAGTGTATGGGGCCATAGAATTAGAATTAGAATGTATGGGGCCATAGAATTAGAAATATAATTACAATTAGAATATATGGGACCATAGATTTAGAATTAGAATTATAATTAATGGGGGCATAGAATTAGAATTAGAATGTATGGGGCAGACATAGAGTAGTAGAATGATGACATCAGACCCCAGCCCCTCCCCTCCCCGCCCCTTCTACTCTCCTCCCTGAAATACTCTCCATTGGTTTCAGAACTTCACAGTTTCAATCTGTGGCAACAACTCACATTGTTTATTTATTAATGTCAGGGTCATTCCGCACCACTGCTTTCACAAGGATATTTGCTTTGAAGTGATTGATGGTTGATGCTGATTTTTACATTATATTACAGGCAGACAACAGATTGTGTGATTAGATGCTGTTTGTTATGCACTAAGTATTCTGACCATGTATGGCTTACTGATGTTTGTCATGTTGTTTCAGATTGGTGCTACCAGTCCCAGCACACCTGTGCCACCCCTTGTAATGGTGAGTTTTGAAACACAGTGATGAACAAAAAAATCTCATGTTAAATCTGTCCATACAACACAGTGACTGGATCCTCTTTTTAGCTCATCTTTGTCATGTCACCATTACACGTTCAAGTTATTTAAGGAGGGACTTGACCGTTACAGCAATAAATCCACTTCCTCTCCATCTGACGACGCGTCTTGCTGTCACCCTGACGACGTGTCTTGCTGTCGCCCTGACGACGTGTCTTGTTGTCACCCTGACGATGCGTCTTGCTGTCGCCCTGACGACGTGTCTTGCTGTCGCCCAGACGATGTGTCTTGCTGTTGCCCTGACGACGTGTCTTGCTGTCACCCTGACGACGTGTCTTGTTGTCGCCCTGACGATGCGTCTTGCTGTCACCCTGACGATGCGTCTTGGTGTCACCCTGACGACGTGTCTTGTTGTCACCCTGACGATGCGTCTTGCTGTCACCCTGACGATGCGTCTTGGTGTCACCCTGACGATGTGTCTTGCTGTCGCCCTGACGATGTGTCTTGCTGTCGCCCTGACGATGTGTCTTGCTGTCACCCTGACGACGTGTCTTGCTGTCACCCTGACGACGTGTCTTGCTGTCGCCCTGATGACGTGTCTTGCTGTCACCCTGACGACGTGTCTTGCTGTCACCCTGACGATGCGTCTTGCTGTCGCCCTGACGACGTGTCTTGCTGTCACCCTGACGACGTGTCTTGCTGTCACCCTGACGATGTGTCTTGCTGTCACCCTGACGACATGTCTTGCTGTCACCCTGACGACGTGTCTTGCTGTCACCCTGACGATGTGTCTTGTCTCCTCACTGTTCTACAGGACCAGAGAAGTGGGATCATGCCAACATAGCCTGTGGTGGCCGTGTCCAATCCCCCATCAACATCGTCCACAGGAAGACCTTACCAGACGAGCGCCTCACACCCTTCCAGTTCAGACAGTACCAGGATTCCTTCGAAGGCCTGATCAAAAACAATGGACACTCTGGTATGTTTCATTAAGGCCACTAAACAGTCTTTGCTCATGCCTACCTGAACTCAACAATGCTTGATTTAAATTATGTCAAAAATGTGAACATTTGGAAATATGCTTTTTTACTGAAATTGTTTACATTCCAAGACAAAACATTCTGTTGTTGATCCCCCTACCCCACCACCTCCCTTTAGAAGCATGTCGTTTCCTAGCAACAAACATCTAGAAAGTATTTTTGTTGTCTAATTTCCACTGTGTCATCCCCTCCAGTTCAGGTGAGCGTGCCCCACGAAGCCTATGTGTTCGGTGGAGACCTGGAGACGCCCTATAAGGCGGTGCAGTTCCACCTGCACTGGGGCAAGAACGGGGGACCAGGGTCAGAGCACACCATCGACGGAGAGCAGTACCCCATGGAGGTAATGTTATTTAGGACAGCCACTGTCTGACACACACACACACACACACACACACACACACATCCGCGCACACACACACACACACACACACACACACACACACACACACACACACACACTTTGACATTTTTTTTTCTTTAAATGTTCTTATCAGTGTGAATCAAACAGAGGATCACAGTCCAATTGAAAGTGAGCTGAAACGGAGCCCAGATGAAGGTTTTTAAAAACGACTTTTAGACTTTCTATTGACTCTCTTTTCTACAGCTACACATTGTTCACATGAAACAGCAACACTCAAACTTGGGAGATGCATTGAAAGATCCATCCGGAGTTGCAGTCCTGGGATTTTTCTATGAGGTAAACATTTCAATATGTTTGAATGATCTTTGCCATAGCCAGTCAATCTTTGACTTTGAATGAACATATCCATGGCAACACTTGTAATACAATGTTGAGGGTAATGATATTAAACGCATTATAGGACCCTGCATTTGTCTTGGATGTGATATACTGTATGTTTATATATTGAGATGTATTTATGTGTATGTACAGTGCCTTCAGAAAGTATTCACACCCCTTATTCTACATTTTGTTGTGTTACAGCCTGAATTCAAAAGGATTCAATTGTTTGTTTTTTCTCTCAACTGTCTACACACAATACCCCATAATGACAAAGTGAAATCATGTTTGAGAAATATCTGCAAATGTATTGAAAATGAAATACATAAATATCTCATTTACGTAAGTATTTACACCAGAGTCAATACTTTGTAGAAGCACCTTTGGCAGCGATTACAGCTGTGAGTCTTTCTGGGTCAGTCTCTAAGAGCTTTCCACACCTGGATTGAGCAACATTTGCCCATTATTCTTTTCAAAATTCTTCAAGCTCTGTCAAATTGGTTCTTGATCATTGCTAGACACCCATTTTCAGATCTTGCCATACATTTTGGATAAGATTTTGCCTGTGCTTTGCTTCATTCTGTTTATTTTTATCCTGAAAAACTCCCCAGTCCTTAACGATTACAAGCATACCCATAACATGCAGCCTCCACTATGCTTGAAAATATGGAGAGTGGTACTCAGTAATGTGTTGTATTGGATTTGACCCAAACATAACACTTTGTATTCAGGACAAAAAGTTAATTGCCATGCCACATTTTTTGCAGTATTACTTAAGTGCCTTGTTGCAAACAAGATGCATGTTTTGGAATATTTGTATTCTGTACAGGCTTCCTTCTTTTCACTCTGTTAATTTGGTTAGTATTGTGGAGTAACTACAATGTTGTTGATCCATCCTCAGTTTTTTGCTACCACAGCCATTAAACTCTGTAAATGTTTTATAGTCACCATTGGCCTCATGGTGAAATCCCTGAGTGGTTTCCTTCCTCTCCGGCAACTGAGTTAGGAAGGACGTCTGTATCTTGTTGTTACTGGGTATATTGATACACCATCCAAAGTGTAATTAATAACTTCACCATGCTCAAAGGGATATCCAATGTCTGCTTTTTAAAAATGTTTACTCATCTACCAATAGGTGCCCTTCTTTGCGAGGCATTGTAAAACCTCCCTGGTCTTTGTGGTTGAATCTGTGTTTGAAATTCACTGCTCGACTGAGGGACCTTACAGATAATTGTATGTGTGTGGTATAGAGATCAGGTAGTCATTTAAAAATCATGTTAAACACTATTATTGCACACAGTGAGTCCATGCAACTTATTATGTGACTTGTTAAGAATTGATTTACTCCTGAACTTTATTTAGACTTGCCATAACAAAGCGGTTGAATACTTATTGACTCAAGACATTTCAGCTTTTCATTTTTAATTAATTTGTTAAAAAAATACAAAAAATTGAAAAACATAATTCCACTTTGACATTATGGGTTATAATGCATAGGCCAGTGACACAACATCTTCATGTAATCCATTTTAAATTCAGGCTGTAACACAACAAAATGTGGAAAAGGTCAAGGGGTGTGAATACTTTCTGAAGGCACTGTATGCTCGAGTCATGATTCTTATTTTGTAACATTGTCAGGAATCTCTCAGTGCCAACAGAAAATATGATCCCATTGTAAAAGCTCTCCAGAGCATCAGTACGACTGGTGAGTATATTTCATAACTAATGTATATGTTATTCAGATCCATTTTGCTAAAGATATGGCATGTATCATACAATTGATTCACAAAGCCACACTCACAGCTGGGACATTGAAACTAGTATCTGCTAAGATTAGTGTATCTTTGTACAGACGTGGTCAAAAGTTTTGAGAATGACACAAGTATTGGTCTTCACAAAGTTCGCTGCTTCAGTGTTATGAGATATTTTAGTCAGATGTTACTATGGTATACTGAAGTATAATTACAAGCATTCCATAAGTGTCAAAGGCTTTTATTGACAATTACATTAAGTTTATGCAAAGAGTCAATATTTGCAGTGTTGACCCTTCTTTTTCAAGACCTCTGCAATCCGCCCTGGCATGTTGTTAATTAACTTCAGGGCCACATCCTGACTGATGGCAGCCCATTCTTGCATAATCAATGCTTGGAGTTTGTCAGAATTTGTGGGGTTTTGTTTGTCTACCCGCCTCTTGAGGATCGACCACAAGTTCTCAATGGGATTAAGGTCTGGGGAGTTTCCTGGCCATGGACCCAAAATTTCGATGTTTTGTTCCCCGAGCCACTTAGTTATCACTTTTGCCTTATGGCAAGGTGCTCCATCATGCTGGAAAATGCATTGGTCGTCACCAAACTGTTCTTGGATGGTTGGGAGAAGTTGCTCTCAGAGGATGTGTTGGTACCATTCTTTATTCATGGCTGTGTTCTTAGGCAAAATTGTGAGTGAGCCCAATCCCTTGGCTGAGACGCAACCCTACACATGAATGGTCTCAGGATGCTTTACTGTTGGCATGACACAGGACTGATGGTAGCGCTCACCTTGTCTTCTCCGGACGAGGTGTTTTCTGGATGCCCCAAACAATCGGAAAGGGGATTCATCAGAGAAAATGACTTTACCCCAGTCCTCAGCAGTCCAATCCCTGTACCTTTTGCAGAATATCAGTCTGTCCCTGATGTTTTTCCTGGAGAGAAGTGGCTTCTTTACTGCCCTTCTTGACACCAGGACATCTTCCAAAAGTCTTTGCCTCACTGTGCGTGCAGATGCACTCACACCTGCCTGCTGCCATTCCTGAGCAAGCTCTGCACTTGTGGTGCCCCGATCCCGCAGCTGAATCAACTTTAGGAGACGGTCCTGGCGCTTGCTGGACTTTCTTGGGCGCCCTGACGCCTTCTTCACAACAATTGAACCTCTCTCCTTGAAGTTCTTGATGATCCGATAAATTATTGATTTAGGTGCAATCTTACTAGTAGCAATATCCTTGCCTGTGAAGCCCTTTTTGTGCAAAGCAATGATGACGGCACGTGTTTCCTTGCAGGTAACCATGGTTAACAGAGGAAGAACAATGCTTTCAAGCACCACCCTCCTTTTAAAGCTTCCAGTCCGTTATTCTATCTCAATCAGCATGACAGAGTGATCTCCAGCCTTGTCCTCGTCAACACTCTCACCTGTGTTAATGAGAGAATCACTGACATGATGGCAGCTGGTCCTTTTGTGGCAGGGCTGAAATGCAGTGGAAATGTTTTTCTTTTGGGATTAAGTTCATTTTCATGGCAAAGAGGGACTTTGCAATTAATTGCAATTCCTCTGATCACTCTTCATGACATTCTGGAGTATATGCGAATTGCCATCATCAAAACTGAGGCAGCAGACTTTGTGAAAATTAGTATTTGTGTCATTCTCAAAACTTTTGACCACGACTGTACATGTAATAAAGTACATGATACGTTCTGTGTAGCAGATACTGTTCATCATTACACAGTTTCATGTAAAGACTGAGGAGATTTGATGTCTTCACTAATGTCTTCGATGCTTTCCTCTGTCTTGTCCTATCTGCCTCCAGATGCCAAAATATTTTCATGAATTCATGTCAAGATTAATGTACAATTTGTATGTAACTTGTGTATCGCAGATACAATTTATCTCAATTTGTTTCAGTGCTCTATGTTTCTCTCGTGTCCTGTCTGTTGACAAGTACCAACACCAAAGTTTTGCTAAGATTAAATATCACTTCTGTGTGTCTCCGTTTGTTTCAGTGCTCAATGTTTCTGATGGTGCGCTGTGCTGTTGCAGGTACTCAAACCTCTCTGAGCGCTGTGTCTCTGGAGCAGCTGATTCCTCCCCAGCAGAACCTGACCAACTACTACCGTTACAAGGGCTCCCTCACCACCCCTAACTGCACTGAGTCTGTGGTCTGGACCGTGTTTGAGAAGCCCATCCCTCTCAGCAGAGACCAGGTACAGCAGCCGTTTAACCCAACGTCTTGTTGGTACATTAGGAAACACTCTGAAAGCAGAACAGTTATGTGGTGGAGAGCCGTGGCATTTCAGAGCAGTTATGTGGTGGAGAGCCGTGGCATTCAGAACAGTTATGTGGTGGAGAGCCGTGGCATTCAGAACAGTTATGTGGTGGAGAGCCGTGGCATTCAGAACAGTTATGTGGTGGAGAGCCGTGGCATTCAGAACAGTTATGTGGTGGAGAGCCGTGGCATTCAGAACAGTTATGTGATGGAGAGCCGTGGCATTCAGAACAGTTATGTGGTGGAGAGCCGTAGCATTCAGAAGAGTTACACTACCATTCAAAAGTTTGGGTCACTTAGAAATGTCCTTGTTTTTGAAAAAATAAGCTTTTTTTTTTGTCCATTAAAAGAACATCAAATTGATCAGAAATACAGTGTAGACATTGTTAATGTTGTAAATGGCTATTGTAGCTGGAAACGGCTGATTTTTAATGGAATATCTACATAGGCATACAGAGGCCCATTATCAGCAACCATCAGTCCAGTGTTCCAATGGCACGTTGTGTTTGCTAATCCATGTTTATCATTTTAAAAGGCTAATTGATCATTAGAAAACCCTTTTGCAATTATGTTAGCACAGCTGAAAACTGTTGTGCTGATTAAAGAAGTAATAAAACAGGCCTTCTTGAGACTAGTTGAGTATCTGGAGCATCAGCAATTGTGGGTTCAATTACAGGCTCAAAATGGCCAGAAACAAATAACTTTCTTCTGAAACTCATCAGTCTATTCTTGTTTTGAGAAATGAAGGCTATTCCATGCGAGAAATGCCAAGAAACTGAAGATCTCGTACAACGCTGTGTACTACTCCCTTCACAGAACAGCGCAAACTGGCTCTAACCAGAATAGAAAGAGGAGTGGGAGGCCTCGGTGCACAACTGAGCAAGAGGACAAATACATTAGAGTGTCTAGTTTGAGAAACAGCTTAATTAAATATTACCCACAAAACACCAGTCTCAACGTCAACAGTGAAGAGATGACTCTGGGATGCTGACTTTCTAGGCAGAGTTGCATAGAAAAAGCCATATCTCAGACTGGCCAATAAAAAGAAAAGATTAAGATGGGCAAAATAACACAGACACTGGACAGAGGAAGATTGGAGAAAAGTGTTATGGACAGACTAATCAAAGTTTGAGGTGTTCGGATCACAAAGAAGAACATTTGTGAGATGCAGACCAAGTGAAAAGATGCTGGAGGAGTGCTTGATGCCATCTGTCAAGCATGGTGGAGGCAATGTGATGGTCTGGGGGTGCTTTGGTGGTGGTAAAGTGGGAGATTTGTACACGGTAAAAGGGATCTTGAAGAAGGAAGGCTATCATTCCATTTTGCAACGCCATGCCATACCCTGTGGATGGCGCTTGATTGGAGCCAATTCCCTCCTACAACAGGACAATGACCCAAAGCACAGCTCCAAACTATGCAATAACTATTTAGAGAAGAAGCAGTCAGCTGGTATTCTGTCTATAATGGAGTGGCCAGCACAGTCACCAGATCTCAACTCTATTGAGCTGTTGTGGGAGCAGCTTGACCATATGATACATAAGAAGTGCCCATCAAGCCAATCAAACTTGTGGGAGGTGCTTCAGGAAGCATGGGGTGAAATCTCTTCAGATTACCTCAACAAATTGACAACTAGAATGCCAAAGGTCTGCAAGGCTGTAATTGCTGCAAATGGAGGATTCTTTGACTAAAGCAAAGTTTGAAGGACACAATTATTATTTCAATTAGAAATCGTTATTTCTAACCTTGTCAATGACTACATTTCCTATTCATTTTGCTATATTTCCTATTCAAACTAATTTCATGTATGTTTTCATGGAAAACAAGGACATTTCTAAGTGACCGCAAACTTTTGAACGGTAGTGTACAGTTGAAGTCGGAAGTTTACATACACTTAGGTTGGAGTCATTAAACCTTGTTTTTCAACCACTCCACACATTTCTTGTTAACAAACTATAGTTTTGGCAAGTCGGTTAGGACATCTACTTTGTGCATGACACAAGTAATTTTTCCAAAAATTGTTTCCAGACAGATTATTTAACTTATAATTCACTGTATCACAATTCCAGTGGGTCAGAAGTTTACATACACTAAGTTGACTATGCCTTTAAACAGCTTGGAAAACTCCAGAAAATGATTTCATGGCTTTAGAAGCTTCTGATAGGCTAATTGACATAATTTGAGTCAATTGGAGGTGTACCTGTGGATGTATTTCAAGGCCTACCTTGAAACTCAGTGCCTCTTTGCTTGACATCATGGGAAAATGAAAAGAAATCAGCCAAGATCTCAGAAAAAAAATTGTAGACCTCCACAAGTCTGGTTCACCCTTGGAAGCAATTTCCAAACGCCTGAAGGTACCACATTCATCTGTACAAACAATAGTACGCAAGTATAAACTCCATGGGACCACGCAGCCGTCATACCGCTCAGGAAGGAGATGCGTTCTGTCTCCTAGAGATTAACGTACTTTGGTGCGAAAAGTGCAAATCAATCCCAGAACAACAGCAAAGGACCTTGTGAAGATGCTGGAGGAAACAGGTACAAAAGTATCTATATCCACAGTAAAATGAGTCCTATATCGACATAACCTGAAAGGCCGCTCAGCAAGGAAGATGCCACTGCTCCAAAACCGCCATAAAAAAGCCAGACTATGTTTTGCAACTGCACATGGGGACAAAGATCGTACTTTTTGGAGAAATGTCCTCAGGTCTGATGAAACAAAAATAGAACTGTTTGGCCATAATGACCATTGTTATGTTTGGAGGAAAAAGGGGGTTGCTTGCAAGCCGAAGAACACCATCCCAACCGTGAAGCACGGAGGTGGAAGCATCATGCTGTGGGGGTGCTTTGCTGCAGGAGGGACTGGTGCACTTCACAAAATAGATGGCATCATGAGGAAGGAAAATGATGTGGATATATTGAAGCAACATCTCAAGACATCAGTCAGGAAGTTAAAGCTTGGTCGCAAATGGGTCTTCCAAATGGACAATGACCCCAGTCATATTTCCAAAGTTGTGGCAAAATGGCTTAAGGACAACAAAGTCAAGGTATTGGAGTGGCCATCACAAAGCCCTGACCTCAATCCTATAGAGAATTTGTGAGCAGAGCTGAAAAAGTGTGTGGGCAAAATTCACCCAAGTTATTGTGCGAAGCTTGTGGAAGGCTACCCGAAACGTTTGACCCAAGTTAAACAATTTAAAGGCAAAGCTACCAAATACTAATTGAGTGTATGTAAACTTCTGACCCACTGGGAATGTGATGAAAGAAATAAAAGCTGAAATAAATCATTCTCTCTACTATTATTCTGACATTTCACATCCTTAAAATAAAGTGTTGATCCTAACTGACCTACGACAGGGAATTTTTACTAGGATTAAATGTCAGGAATTGTGAAAAACTGAGTTTAAATGTATTTGGCCAAGGTGTATGTAAACTTCCGATTTCAACTGTATGTGGTGGAGAGCCGTGGCATTCAGAACAGTTATGTGGTGGAGAGCCGTGGCATTCAGAACAGTTATGTGGTGGAGAGCCGTGGCATTCAGAACAGTTATGTGGTGGAGAGCCGTTTCTTTCAGAACAGTTATGTGGTGGAGAGGCGTGGCATTCAGGACAGTTATGTGCTGGAGAGCCGTGGCATTCAGAACAGTTATGTGGTGGAGAGGCGTGGCATTCAGAACAGTTATGTGGTGGAGAGACGTTTCATTCAGAACAGTTATGTGGTGGAGAGCCGTTTCATTCAGAACAACACTATATGTCTCCTACAAAATGCTCTGTTAACACTCCTGTGAAAGACAGTCTGTCAGTCTGGCTTTGAGTAGTTGAACTAAACCTACTAGTAGATACACTGTTCATTTGATTTGATATGATGATACTTATTGTTACTGTTGGTATCAACTGTGACTCAGTGACCTTTTGTGTGTCTCTGCGTTGGGGTTTCTGTCTTCCAGCTGCGTGTGTTTTCAGACCTCCAGTTTAAGGATGGCAAGAACATGGTGGGTACCTTCCGGCCGGTGCAGCCCCTGAATGGCCGCGTGGTGTACCGTTCGGGAGGCGCAGTGGTACTGGCCAGCGCCGCGCTCCTCGTGGCTTCCGTCGCCACGGTGATGGGACTGTCGCAGCCCAACTAGAGGAAGGGCATTCCGAGCGAGCCACACCCACCACCAGCATGAACACCATGAGTTCTCAGAACCAACCACAAAAATCAACAGACGCACTAAAACTACAGCACCAACCAACCAACAATCACACCTTTGACAACTCTCAGCCCGAAAATGGCCCAGGCACTTACAATGCATTCTAGTGATTCATTAGTTTCTCGAACTCTAGAGTATTAGAGCTCTCGAAGTTCTAAAGTTCATGAGTTATGCCGTTCATAAGTTCAACATTCCCCTCTCTGTTCAGTGTCAGGTCAATTTAGAGTCCTCAGCCTAAAGTTACCATACAAAATGTGAGGACCCTCTGCTCTGTGGTCGCTGCTGTAGTCTAGATATAGATGCCTGTACATCCATGACCTGGTTGGCACTGGACTGGCAAGTGATCATGTTCTTGTAATGGAACGTGTTAATGGTGGCTAGTTGCTATTAATAGCTAGCGGTCATAAATACTCTCCAGTCTCCAGTTTATAACCTAGGAGAGGAGAGGAGAGCAGAGAGATGCCATGGCCTTTCCCTCTGCATTGCCAAGTTCCATGAACTCCCATTATCGCCACCACCGTCACCAGTCAGGGTGGGCATTCTATGCCACCCACCATGGGCCGGGCAACATTATCTGAGGGGTAAGGAGGACGGAGGTCCCCTAGCAACACCTGAATCACCCGCCCAGGGCCCAGGGGTAACTAAAGGGCACAGGCTGACCCACGATGAACACAACACACCAAACTGTTCTAAGTGTTAAAGTGTTTAGAGGCTGAACTGTCCCTGTCCCGACTCCCAAACCCCCCCCAGTCACACATGAGCTCAACGAGGAGGAAGAGGAGGTGGAGGAAGATGACGATGCGTTGCCGGAGTGATGAGCTTTTTCCGGCTCCCTCCAAAACTGCTCTGACAATAGGTCATGTGACAGGGGGCGATTCTGAACACACAGCTTCTAGAAGCTGAATAGGGAGTTGACACAGCAATATTTAAGATAAACCAACTAATTGATTGATAAATAGATAGATTAATCAATTGATGGATTGATTGATTGACAGATTGATTGATTGATACTTATTGGACCAATGTCATTATAGTATTATTACCAATTATCCACATCAAATGTTTAGCATTGATCTGCATGTTGTCTCTCGCTCTCTCTCTCTCTCTCTCTCTCTCTCTCTCTCTCTCTCTCTCTCTCTCTCTCTCTCTCTCTCACGCCGTAACAGAACTAAAGAACCAGAGACACTGTACAACTCTGACACAGCTTTCTACCTAGCCACCCTAGACACTTCAGTAACTGTATACTTCTCCACCAGCTCATGGCCAATTAAACTTTCCCAGGTTAATCTTTGAGAACACGTGACTTGTGTTCATGTCTTCTATTACAGGGTCTCGGATGCACTGATTGTTACCTACTGTGAATTACTACTCCAATATTATGATTTCTCATTTTGTTTATTCTGAGGGTTTCTATCAGGCAAGAGATATGTGCAATTCTCTTGTGATGTAAGACAAGACGGATTGAACTAGGAATATATTATACATGTTTCATAACTCACCAATGTTATATTACATTTCTATACTGTGTAATTTGTACTGTATGTACAGTATGGGTATATTGATATATAAGGACACACTGTTGATGTTATTAATATATAGCTAGGAATGTAAAAGTTTATATATATATATATATGTATCGACATCTATCAGAAAGAAAACCAATCCCCCCAAAAAATGAAAATTGACTGCATTATCAAGTTGTTTCTGACCAATTCAAAATATGTTTACTCTTCAAATGTTCAAAAGTATTGAATGGTTTCGTTTGTTTGGTTGCAATGCTTGAAAATGTTATATACGTGATATGGAGAATGTGTTCCGATTTAACAATAAACTACTGACATGCCTTTTTAATAAGTTGGTCTATCTGGTTCATTGTCAAAGGTATGTCAGTTAGTATGAGCAATAACAGGTGTATAAGTATGTGTGCTCTTTGAGTTCAATCACAAACACAGGGTTTTTTTGCCTCCGCTTCTGAGTCACTGTACTGCTCCATAACCCTGGTGTTACCCTAAAAGGTGCCAATCGAAGATCAAGTGTTCTCTCTCTCTGGCTCTCTTTATCTGGAGGTTTGGACAGACTTCTCAGTTTCCTGTCAGCCTCCTGGTCTAGTTGGTCCGTCAGAGAGTCTGATAGATCTCACTACTCTAATCCTTTTCTAATTGACTTCTTCTGGATGTTTGGGGGGCTGTCCTTGGCCTGAGTTCTCGCACACACACACACACACACACACACACACACACACACACACACACACACACACACACGCTCGGAGACAGGGCAAGCTCACGGCACTCTAGACAGTAGACACTCTAATCTACAAGGCTTGGAACAGCCTCCTGAATTGTAGATTCAAAACATTCAATCTCAGTCTGTGGGGTTTTCCGACAGACAGATTGCAGGTGTCCGGTAAACTCATTACCTTTTTTAGAGATCTCCGTCTCTACATTCACCCCCCGCTCCTCCCCCTTCCTCTCTGTCTTTCTTGTCATTTAGGAATTAAAAGCCTTATCGTGACTGAAGGCTCCTTACAGAGTGACAGTACACACACTCTAAAGCTGTAATGATAGACATCTTGACACTGACAGTATTTTATTGCTTGTTAGTATTCACTTTTTTTCTTTTCACTTAAAGAGTGAAGGATTGTGGGGTGGAGGGATGCTGAATGTCGGAGGGCTACGAAGGTACTATTAAACGTCCATCCCATCGTCCTCTTCCTCTCACCCTGTCGACAGAACACAAACATCCCCATGTACAGTATCTCCACTAACCCCAAATAGGCCTGCCGCTGTGTACCGCTGTGGTCCAGAGGACAAAGAGTCACATTCTTCCAGGGCAGGGAGAAACCAGAGGCATCCTCAAGCTGAATGCGATCCCCCCCCCCCCCCCCCTCCCCATGTGCCCATCAGATACAGGTCTAGTTTGTGTGATGGGCCCCCTGTAGCTCAGTTGGTAGAGCATGGCGCTTGCAACACCAGGGTTGTGGGTTCGTTTCCCACGGGGGGGCAGTATGAAAATGTATGCTCTCACTACCTGTTAGTCGCTCTGGATAAGAGCATCTGCTAAATGACTAAAATGTTAAGATGTAAAATGTTGTGAGAACGGGGGGGGGGGGGGAACTGTAAGGTGGTCTTAGTCCAAAGAACTGTGTCAAAACAGATCTTGTTTGGACTCTGTTGAGAATAACTGTGGTTTGGTATTGTCCTGTGCCATTCTCTGGCACTGAGCGTAACTGTGGTTTGGTATTGTCCTGTGCCATTCTCTGGCACTGAGCGCAGTCTTTTTATGTAGCCTAAAAGTCCAGTCAGTTAAGCAACACAACAGCAGACTGCAGAAGTTGTATTGTAAATACGTATAAAGTGGTATTGTACATTAACTGTAATTTGAATAGATTTGTACATTTGCAATCCTTTGATACAATACGTGCTGCAGTTTGTAATCTGGCAGTTTTGGCCAGTGATTTACAGGGCCTTCAGAAAGTATTAGTACCCCTTGACTTACTGCACAGTTTGTTGTGTTACAGCCTGAATTCAAAATGGATTAAATAAATACAAATATCTCACCCATCTACACACAATACCCCATAATGAAGGTGAAAACATGTTTTTATAAATTTTAGCACATTTATTGAAAATGAAATACAGAAATATCTAATTTATGTACGGTGAGGGGAAAAAAGTATTTGATCCCCTGCTGATTTTGTACGTTTACCCACTGACAAAGACATGATCAGTCTATAATTTTAATGGTAGGTTTATTTGAACAGTGAGAGACAGAATAACAAAAAAAAAATCCAGAGAAACGCATGTAAAAAATGTTATAAATTGATTTGCGTTTTAATGAGGGAAATAAGTATTTGACCCCTCTGCAAAACATGACTTAGTACTTGGTGGCAAAACCCTTGTTGGCAATCACAGAGGTCAGACGTTGGCCACCAGGTTTGCACACATCTCAGGAGGGATTTTGTTCCATTCCTCTTTGCAGATCTTCTCCAAGTCATTAAGGTTTCGAGGCTGACGTTTGGCAACTCGAACCTTCAGCTCCCTCCACAGATTTTCTATGGGATTAAGGTCTGGAGACTGGCTAGGCCACTCCAGGACCTTAATGTGCTTCTTCTTGAGCCACTCCTTTGTTGCCTTGGCAGTGTGTTTTGGGTCATTGTCATGCTGGAATACCCATCCACGACCCATTTTCAATGCCCTGGCTGAGGGAAGGAGGTTCTCACCCAAGATTTGACGGTACATGGCCCTGTCCATCGTCCCTTTGATGCGGTGAAGTTGTCCTGTCCCCTTAGCAGAAAACACCCCCAAAGCATAATGTTTCCACCTCCATGTTTGACGGTGGTGATGGTGTTCTTGGGGTCATAGGCAGCATTCCTCCTCCTCCAAACACGGCGAGTTGAGTTGATACCAAAGAGCTCCATTTTGGTCTCATCTGACCACAACACTCACCCAGTTCTCCTCTGAATCATTCAGATGTTCATTGGCAAACTTCAGACGGGCCTGTATATGTGCTTTCTTGAGCAGGGGGACCTTGCGGGCGCTGCAGGTTTTCAGTCCTTCACGGCGTAGTGTGTTACCAATTGTTTTCTTGGTAACTATGGTCCCAGCTGCCTTGAGATCATTGACAAGATCCTCCCGTGTAGTTCTGGGCTGATTACTCACCGTTCTCATGATCATTGCAACTCCACGAGGTGAGATCTTGCATGGAGCCCCAGGCCGAGGGAGATTGACAATTATTTTGTGTTTCTTCCATTTGCGAATAATCGCACCAACTGTTGTCACCTTCTCACCAAGCTGCTTGGCGATGGTCTTGTAGCCCATTCCAGCCTTGTGTAGGTCTACAATCTTGTCCTGACATCCTTGGAGAGCTCTTTGGTCGTGGCCATGGTGAAGAGTTTGGAATCTGATTGATTGATTGCTTCTGTGGACAGGTGTTTTTTATACAGGTAACAAGCTGAGATAAGGAGCACTCCCTTTAAGAGTGTGCTCCTAATCTCAGCTCGTTGCCTGTATAAAAGACACCTGGGAGCCAGAAATCTTTCTGATTGAGAGGGGGTCAAATACTTATTTCCCTCATTAAAATGCAAATCAATTTATAACATTTTTGACATGCGTTTTTCTGGATTTCTTTGTTGTTATTCTGTCTCTCACTGTTCAAATAAACCTACCATTAAAATTATAGACTGATCATTTCTTTGTCAGTGGGAAAACGTACAAAATCAGCAGGGGATCAAATACTTTTTTCCCTCACTGTAAGCATTCATACCCCTGACTCAATACTTTGTAGAAGCACCTTTGGTAGTGATTACAGCTCTGAGTCTTGCTGGGTAAGTCGCTAAGAGCTTTCCACACCTAAATTGTACAACATTTGCCCATTCTTCTTTTCAGAATTCTTCAAGCTCTGTCAAATTGGTTGTTGATCATTGCTAGACAACCATTTTCAGGTCTTGCCATAGATTTCCAAGTAGATTTAAATCAAAACTGTTACTTGGCCACTCAGGAACATTCACTGTCTTCACTGCTAAGTAACTCCAGTGTAGATTTGGCTTTGTGTTTCCTTTAGGATTTTGCCTGTGCTTAGCTCCATTTATCCTGAAAAACTCCCCAGACCTTAACAATTACAAGCATATCCATTTACATTTTAGCAGACGCTCTTATCCAGAGCGACTTACAGTTAGTGAGTGCATACATGTGTTTTTATCTTTATATTTTATGATGTAGCCACCACTATGCTTGAAATTATGGAGAGTGGTACTAAGTAATGTACTTTTGTATTCAGTACAAAACACATTTTTTGCAATATTACTTTATTCTGTATAGACTTCCTTCTTTTCACTCTGTCAGTTAGATTAGTATTATGGAGTAACTACAATGTTGTTGATCCATGCTCAGTTTTCACCTATCACAGCCATTAAACTCTGTAACTGTTTTAAAGTCACCATTGGCCTCATGGTGAAATCCCTGAGCAGTTTCCTTCCTCTCCAGCAACTGAGTTAGGAAGGATGCCTGTATCTTTGTAGTGACTGGGTGTATTGATACACAATCCAAAGCCTAATTAATAACTTTACTATGCTCAAAGGGATATTCAATGTCTGCTTTTTTATTTTT